GGGACCTGTAACAATACTTTGCCCTTTGAAGACGCAAATCACATGCTGAAGCGTACAGAGCTGTGCGTCAACCTATTCAGTAGTGGTTGAGGTCTACGTCAGACTCAAAGAGAGCTATGTAGTCCACATATTCACAATTTGTATGCCAGTCACCTGGAAGAGCTTCCATTCCCGATGAGACTGAAATAACGGGGTCGTTTCTACCTCAATGTTGAAGAAGAAGAAGAAGAGACGCGTGGGGCCAGCGTGGCGAACTCCACTTGTGCTGAGGAACTCGAAACACAGCTTTCCGTATACTCTTACCCATTCTCGGGAGTTCTGGTAAAGTTCAGAATTAAAAGTTTAGCTGCGCCTTTTCATTAAGATTAATGCCTCCGTGATTCTCGCAAAGTGGGCTGATCCATTTGAAGGTGGGCACGACAGCTGAGAGTCGCCGGTCTGAAGGCATCTCTTCAGTGCACTAAATCGAGTGGAATGGAGTTGTAACTGCAGTCAAACGAGGTAGCTCAATGTCTCAGCAACTATTAACGTAGCTCTTAAGGTTCAGGAGCATTAATTCGTTTCAACACGGCAAGAGTGTATGGAATTTTTTTTAGATTGGAAGGTCTAACATCAACTTCCCACGTTAGCTCAGGTGATTGGACAAGTGATACTATCGCAGCAGACCTACTGAATTGCTCTTCGAAATGTTTCGTCCTACACGCTTGTCCATATTGCTGAGAATGCATCAACTGCCCATCTCACTAAACTTTCTGAACAAAACACTAAGAAGACGAACATTGCAAGACGGTACCATTTCATGTTATCCGATTACTTGCCAACTAACCACATATGTAACTCACGTAAGGGAAGAAAACGATCATTTTGAAACATGTAGAATAAATGCACACAAAACAATATTTGGTAGCGCTAGGGCAAAGGTCATGAACCCTAAACACGCTTGAGGGATACTGTCTGTTGCTTTTGCACACAAAGAGAGGAACGGTAACGATTTAGGGACATAACCTCGACAAATTTCAGCACCGTGACGTTTTCGTTTTGGTAGATAACCGTAAACGTTGAGCCAGGGTCGACTTGATGACCTGTGTTGGTTAGGTGTCTAGCGATGAATGATGATGGCAGCTTGCCTGCTGCTTCCTGTTCGGTTTCTTGTTGTGCCAGCAACCCAGCAATTCGCTTCGGAAAATGCTCTCCAATTCGTTTACTCAGACAACGATTTGTCTTGCTCACGTAACTGCTTCCGCAGGTACAGACGGATTGGCAAATGCAATGAGTTGTGGCGGAACCTGGTTGAGTAGTTTTGATTGCGGGCATCGGCAGCTTTTTGCTTGTCCAGATTGGACAGAGTTTGGCAGCGTTGAATGCACGGCGAATAGCTGTGTTCACTCGTCGTTCAATTTGCGCCACCACATTGCCTTTAAAGGGTAGCTGTAAATAGACGGGCATTTTGGGCACAGTAAGTTTGCTTCCCTTCAGATGACTGTGAAATCTGATGAATTCCTCTGGATACCCATTGACCCGTAATGTCTGTGTGATGAACGATAATTCCGACTCCACACAGTCAGCACTGCATATTCTACGGGCTCGATCGAACAGCGTCTTGACAACCCAACGTTTGTATTGGACGGGCCTAAATCTGTTGAAGTTCTCATATAAGCCTGTCCATGTATTTTCTCTGTAAACTGAGCCATCGTCTTGTCTTGTCAGCAATACATCCAGCAAACCAAGGCATTTGGTATCATCTAGCTCACATGTGAAACAGGCGTTGGGATGTATATTGTTGAGGACACTGAGAACTGATTGAACAGTCTATACTTGGAGCAATCACTAAGGTGTCATCCAAGTATCGCCTGTATAGGCACATCTCTTTTAGGTAGGATTCACTCTGTGGTTCGGCCACTGCCATATGTCAACCAGTACCGGGCCAAACGGACTTCGCATAGTCACACCATCTACCTGTCGTTAAACTTGCCCATTGTATAAAAAGTGCACATTTTCTGTACATAATGGCAGTAAATCCCTGAGCTATTCCACTAGAATTCACAAGGCTACTTTTTATTCGTGATGAACTCGCACAACGAATCCATTGTTTTTTAATGGGATGTTGGTGAACAAAGATTCTACGTCCATAGAACACATAACCTTGTCGGCAATTTTCGTGCCCTGCACACAATCAATCAAATCCAAAGTGTCTTTCATGGCACACATCGCTATCATTTGTCTCAATGGTGCGTCGACTAGCTAACGTGCCAAATTGTGATACGGGGAGTTGCACATAGACAGTATCGACCTTAATGGTGGGTTAGCCTTGTAGATCTTCGGCAGCACGTACTTTTGCGCAATGCTTGTATACATGGACTTCAAGGAATTATACACCGTTTCTGATATCATACCGTGTTGAAGTAACAATTTTAGTTATTTGGTCACCCTCTTTTCAATTTACGTTCTCATGCTCTCGCTTCTGTCGTCCTGAAATTCGGATTTATTCTTCAGGATATCCTACATCTTGTGTTCATAGTCTGACTTATCCATGACAACAGCTCCTGTAGCCTTGTCTGGTTTTAAAACCAACACACAAATGCTGCCATCTTGCAGTGCTCGTCTTGTTATTGTTTGTTCAGCCTGATACAGGGAACTCAATGCATTAAATTTATGAGACAAATGCTCCCTACCAACGCTATTATACTCCTTGATGAACTAGTAACACTGACATGCAAGATTGACAGAGAGAAAATGCGAATTAGTTTCCAATCTGAGTGCAAACGCAACGCTCGATATCCTCGACTGTTTTGTAACTTGCTGCGTCGGAACCAACTGAGATCTACCAACGCGAATTTGAAGCGAATCGCTAACTCCTATTTGGAGCAGGCTATCAGAACTCTTCTTCAGTTGTTAGAGACACATCAACGCCGTGTGACGATCACTGACCAGCTTTCATTGCTTTGCCCTATAAGGTTCACGAACTTTTGCAAAACCCCCGTTGACAGAACGAAGAGGAAACTAGCCAAGTCACAGCAGAGATCCCTTGAGAATGCAGAAGATGAACCCATGTCTTCTGGTGAATTACAGTGGCATGTGTACAGCTTGTTGACAGTACTCTTAGTTAGAAAGCAACTGGTATGAACTTTAAAATACCCAAGAAGATATGTCGAATCCATGTGGAAGCCCAATTCGAAAGCCTAATCGATCAGCTGTCTGAGTTGAAACCGACGACCCAGGAACACTACAACTGGCTTAAAGTTAAGCTTGTCGACACCGCGCATGGTTACATCATGACTGCGATTCTCAAACATGTGGTCTAGATAACAGTCACACTAAAGCCTTACATGATCTGAAGGCCAGAGTTGTGTTGGTTTTCAAACCAGGCAAAGGTACTAGCGTTTTTGTTATGGCTAAGTCAGAGTATGAAAACAAGATGTTTGATATCCTGAAGGATAAATCCGGATTTCAGTAGGACAAAAACGGAACCACGGTAACAGCAGTGGATTATAAAGAAACGTAATTTCATGTTCTTTTTGAACTTCGGAATTATGTTTTTTCTCATTTTGTTAAGTGTCAAGGATCTAGTGTTTAAAGGCATGTGAACACCGTTACCACAAATTTTTACGTGCTAGTTTATAGTCCTGTAAAGAAAACACAGGCCGTCTTATTCTCCGAAACCAGACTGAGTCAACTCCGAGTTTATTGCAGTGCTTTTTTTACACCTCCTTGTAGAATAACCGCTTAACCTTTTGTAATGCTTCACTGGACCCTCAAGAGCATACTAGTCAGATTATCACATTCGATTGCATCTATGAACAGCATTCCATACTCCGTTACGTATGTGGTTTGTGAGATGTAAATGATGGCATACGTATCCCATGGTCTTTATGGCTTTTGTGAGTAAATGTCTTTAATGCCTTCAACAAACAGAACAGCAACACCTTTCTTCATTTCTTGGAATACATCATCTACCTAAATGAGAAAGTGGTGGTCTAAAAGTACCCTCAAACTCCACTGGTGATTGCTTCCGGTTTAGAGAATTTGTCACGAATGCACAACACCAGTTTTCTACCAATTAGATGTGCGGACAACCAAGAAAACATTGGCTCTCTAATGCTTCCTACAGTTTTCGAGTCGTCTCCGATGAGGGACTCTATCAAAGATCTTTTCATGCCTTGAAACAGGACATTGCCAGTCGTTGTGTGGTCTAAGGAGGACCTCTAGCAAGTTGCGCAGAATCGGTCCTGACTGAAACTGTTCCGCGATTTGCTGATGATATTCCCCGTATTCACAAAGACAAGTAACTTGTCCATAATTACACTTTCCATTATTCTAGATTTGATAGGAGTGTGATTGACATAGCGAAAATGCTTAATCATATGACTGGCCCCATCTTTGTACGGTGGATCACAACAAAAGTGTTACAGCTCAGCTTGAGTTGATATGGAAGGTGAAGTAATCCATTAACTTGTTGCTTAATTTTGTGTAATATCGAAGATGGGATTTTTCCTACTCCAGGGATGCGTGATCTGAATAGTCTAAATGAAGGCACTCCTAGGCGTTAAGCATGTGCAGACAGCCGAGAGGATGGAAACCGTTGGATGCTCCAGTTTGTTTACCTCCAGCCCAGCTTGAAGAAAACTTAGAAATCAGATGACCCTTGTAAACTACCGTATTACCCTGAACGCCGCGAAAACGATGTACAACTGTGTTTGACCTTGGCCGTACGTGTAGGTCATCCAGTGACTTAGAATAGAAAGGCCAACTGAGCATCCCTATATTGATCCAGCCAATTCTCACGATCTGTTCTCACATGTAGCTTTGGAATATACCAAAACATTCGAACTCGATACAACAATCAATGTCAGTCGGTTACTCGCTGAAATACTGTTTTTCCGGAAAATGTTTACTTACGCTATGCACAGCCGACCAATTTCTGATTTCGACCCTTAGCTGATTCATTTAGAGCAATCCCATTGATATTTTGTACTTTGTTTTCCTCCTGTTTCCTTTATCAGTTCGCCGATTCTTTCTCGATCCGTTTCCTTGAGACAAGCGCCAAGTCTGGAGCCCGAGTGGAAGAAGCGTTCCGGTCGCTGGCCAAAGATATTAAAACAAAAATGGAAAAGAAAATGGTGGGTGCCTCATTGTTTGCTTTTTATCCTAACACTTTTAAACTGTCGATGTTTTTCAACGTTTGTAATCTGTCCGCATTTCCCCACCCATACACTGCTTTCTAGCTCATCCGCAATAATGGCAACAATAGGGTCTTATCACCTAAAGATTCATATGTTTCCTGTGTATTCCCCTGAAATCGATCGTTTTCTTTTTTTTTCTTTGATTTTCTCTATATTTTTCAATAATCATTTTCATTTCCATATGCATCAAGATGGCTAAGTCACCTAACTTTGCGTTGCTCATGGTACTTCAAAAGATAGCTAGTCAGCACTCTCTGCTGCTCGATTAGTTTATTGCTTTACTATGAATCTTACACATGAGAACATAATAGCTCCAGTTGCTTTGACTCATGGTTACGCACAATATAGGGATTAATCAACGAGTAATAAAACTGAGTAGTATTTTTGGAAGGAGCAGAACTCTATAGCACTCCATGGAAATTTTATCGGAAACATTCAAAGCAATCAATCATTTTCCATAGGCTAGTTCTTCCTCATATTCTCTGTGACATTGCCGTGATATAGAACTCACATTTATAGGGGAAATACGAATGCACTATATCACAGTCCGCAAGGAACATTCTCTGAACCGCACATCCCTGATCTGTGCATCCAGAAACGTATCAACTTGCAGCATTAGTCAACTGCGTGTCTTGGTAGTGTTCCAAAGATTCAACACCTGCCGATCGAAACACAACAAGTGCGTGTCTCGTGTACTACTAGCCTGTTTCCGTGTCCTCGTACACACTACTTGGTGCGCACGGCGCTATCAACATGGGGATGTTAGCTAGGTAACCTTGGTCATGATGTGATCGACGTTGCCCAACCGTAGGACATGGTGTACAGTCCTATTCGCCTACCACTCTTCACCCTGCATGCCCCGTAAACTGGTGATTGGTTTAGTAACACCGTGTTGAAATGAAAATCTCCTTAGATTGGGACGGGGTGCGCAAAAATGAGCCCGCCAATCCGACTCAGTCTCTCGGACACGTCCTTCGGGTCTTTTGCTGCGTCATCGACTTGCCATCTTGGGGTCTCGTGCATTTCGGTGGTATGCCGGTAAACAATACTCTTCCAAGCAGCCGATCAGCAAATGCTTCACTTGACATAACCTAGCATCCGCGCCTCGAGTTCGAAGGACACCGAACCTCGGCATTAGATGGTCTGTTGTCCAACGACGATAGATCGACTAGTAATACCCATTCGGTTTCCCTGTCACAAACTCGTTGTCCTAAAATTAAATGTACTGATTTTTTAGTTAAATATGTATACGGCTCACCCGAACTTACAAGTAACGTCTTGCAAAGTATGACCCTTGAGAGGATACACGGTGGTTCAAACGCTTTTTCCCCTGATGTTAGCAGTACTGAAAGTCATTTTCCAAAAGTGTTACGATTTTTCGATGTTTTTCACGGTTCCATGATGATGATCTGTCCACTTACATTTCAACCTAGGGAAGAGGTAGAAACCGCTGGGAACCCGGTCAAGGCTGTAAGAACGTTGTGGTAATATGGCGATGTTTTCCTTCTCCAAGTACTCTCAAAATGGCAGCGTTGTGTTAGTTGGTGCCTACTCATCTGCAATGTCCTTTCGGACTCGCTAGACCCGATATCGAAATCGTTCCAAGACACATTTGCAGAATGACTATCTATCCTGGTGGTACAAATTCTTTATGCGTATTTTCACGACTGTCGCAAAAACAACCATCATCGTTTTCGCCAACATAGCTCGCACAACTTTCACATTTGATCGTTTGTTGACAACATTTGCCTTCCAGTAAATGATTAGTCTTCAACATTTTCTCGGCCCTCTAACAAAGCCTTATGCCACCTACAAACCATATTCCTCGATAGAGTGGCATCTTTATGAGTTTCCGTCTCGATGGCAGACTTCTTGAGTTCCACACAAAGTTTGATAGCATGCCGTTGTTCGACATTTCGCTTACCGCAAACGTAACAAAATAATAACACGGGACCTCGCATAAACTAGTGTATCGCGGGTATGACTCAGATGATCGGGTTGAAACAAGTCTAGACCTGCAGCTAAGACATCCACTAATGTGGTGTTACTTTGTCTAGCAGCACATAGCAAAATCAGTACATTTACTTATAGGTCGCGGTAGTATGAGCGACACTTTGTTGGTATAGGCGGATGAACCAGTCAAACCGCCATTTACCGCACCACCGTTTAGTCACTTTATTCCACTCCACATTCTTGGTCTTTCCTCTCCCTTTTCGAGTTCACAACATTGTGCGGACTTAAGCGAATGTTCTCGCTATGCGGGTCAGGAGCTTAGACCCGAAGATGCGGTAATTTGGGTTGACAAGCCATTTCTAGCGCCCCGTTCCCACTTCAAGCTGGCAACCTTCAATGTTCGGACGCTGATGCAGATTGGATCACAAGCAGCCCTTGCTCGCACTGTAGCAACTACGGACATTGATGTCTGCTGTCTCAGCAAGACCGGTTTACAGGACTCTAGCACTACGCTGCGACCATTTTCACCGTCTGCGATTTCCACTGGCATTTTTACGTTACGCCTATCTAGAGACTCAACTGCCGAAGCTGCTGATTATGCTATCGTGTGGATTGCGTTGAGTACACGTGCTAAGTCCGCGCTACTATACTGGATCCATATCAACAGTCGACTCTGCGCGAGCCGACTTGTAACTTCAGTGCGACTGTCCACGCGCGAAGCCAGCAGACGCTTTTTTCTTTATCGCAGCTACGCTCCCACAGATTGCAGCGCGGAGTCAGTTAAGGATAAGTTCTATAGTCAGCTGGTCGACCTTATCCGTAAAAAGCGCCGTAACGACATCGTGGTGCTCGCCCGGGAATTAAATGCGCCGGCCGGTAGATTTGAGGTTGACGAACCTGAACTCGGTGGTCAACACGGCCATGGCACTCGCAGAACTGTGAACGGTGATCGACTACTTCAGCTTTTCGCCGATCACGGCTTCTTTCTGTCGAGCACTAGCTTTCAGGGATCCTGGTGCCAACGCGCCACTTGGAGACCCCCATCACCTGGCCATCCGTGGCAATAATTTGACCAAATCGCCATTAGCTATCGCTGGCGGGGTAGCATACAGGCTTGCAAATCAATCTGGAGTACCTATCTCACTCCGGATCACGGACTTATGTATGCCAAGGCCGCGGTCCGCTTTGGTGCATCTCAGAGCGTCGCGAGAAACGGCTTGACGTGGCTAAGTTTCCTGCCCCGAACTTTCTCTGTGCATTACAGGATGCTTTGGCCTCACGGCTGAAGACTTCCTCGTGCATGAACATTGAAACACACTGGACACACTTCCGCGGTGCCATGTACCACTTTGTAACACTGATCTATGACTTCGTCAATAGTCCTGTCAACCACTGGTTCTCTGCACGATCCCATCAACTTCTCGAAGGTCGTCAAGCGATTCCTGTTGGCGTTAAATACCATTCACTACGCAAAACTACTAACCCTGAGCTCAAACAGCTTCTCCGGGAAGACCGTGAGGCCTGGTGGACAAGGCGGGTCATTGAGATGGAGCAAGTGACCACCTCGGGGAGTTTCCGTAAGCTTTTCCTCTTGATCCGATCTACTGGCGGCAAAAGGCCGACTGTAAGCGAAGTTTTATGCGAAACCAATAGCGAGCCAATGCACTATCAAAAACGCCGACTCGAGCGTTGGGACCAGCCTGTTGAGCAGCAGTTTAATTGGCCAGCAGCACCAATGCGTTCCCATTTGAGAGCCCAGAGCGCTCCTTGGTATGTAGACTCTTCACCACCATCCGAGGCCGAGGTTGCTCATAAGCTTCGCCTCTTAAAGCGCTACAATGCCCTTGGCCCAGATGATCTCCCTCCTGTTCTTTTCAAAGGTGGCGGCTCATCACTTGTTCAGGAGTTAACTTCTCTCCTCCAAGTGATCTGGGTCACTGAAGTTATCCCATCTGATTGGAGCGTGGCGGATATCGTGCCCGTCTTCAAAAAGGGTACCCGAACTGACTGCTCCTAGCACAGAGGGATTAGTCTCATCTGTGTCGCTTCCAAGGTGCTCGCCGCCATGCTTCTAAGAAGACTCAGCCTCGTACGCGAACGGCGCATATGTGAAGAGCAAGCTGGGTTCCGCTCAGGTCAGTGTTGCATCGATCACATCTTTACGCCCTGCCAAATACTCGAGCGTCGTCAAACATGTGGCCAGCCAACGATCGTTATCTTCTTGAACATACGAGCCACCTTTGACTCAGTCGACAGAGCTGCTCTCTGGAGTTGTCTACTGAGAAAGGGAGTGCTTGAGAAGTGTCACCTTACTTCAAGCCATCAACTCTCGAACCTGGGGCCAAGTGCGGGTATATGGCGGATTTTCGCCCCCCTTTGGTATCACCAATGTCGTGAGACTTGGTTGCCCAACATTTCCCTTCTTGTTCCATCTGGCTATAGTCGAAAGTTTGGTGAGTGCTTTGGAGAACAGCGAATCCAGCGGCGTCGCCCTGCTTCCGGGGACCGACTTCGGGATTTTAAGAATGCAGACGACATCGCCGTTATTCTGCGCTTTCTCGTAGGCCGCCCAACATATCCTGTGAAGTTTGGAGATGTTTGTCTCCCAGTTTGGAGTAACCATCGCACCATTGCAATGTAAGCTTTTCCTGCAAGGCTGGCTAGGCGCTGCTCTTGACCTTTCCCTTCTCGGTCATTCATTGGTAGTGATGGACAAGTTCGGAGACTGCCTCATCGCTAATGGTTTAACGGATGATGGATCATTTACTAAGGAGCGTTATTTGAAATAAATGAGAATATCCGTAGCTCGGGGTGTGGATGCGGATTTTGAGCGGTTCTCCGAGCTGAGTGATTATTGTGCAGACGTTTCGTTGCCTGACTAGGCAACATCATCAGTGCGGTTTCAGGGGCCTGATTCCCAGTGCCTGGTAAGCGATTTCAATGTCCAAGTTGCCTAGTCAGGCAACGAAACGTCTGCACAATAA